ACTGGAAATCCCATGTGACAAAATGAAATCAAACCTCTATCTCTCACCATGCACAAAACTCAACTCAAAGTGGATCAAGGACCTAGGAATTAAACCAGAGACCTTGTTCCTAATAGAAGAAAAAGTAGGCCTAAATCTCCATCATGTGGGACTAGGCCCCAACTTCGTTAATAGACCCCTATAGCACAAGAATTAAAACCAAGAATCAATAAATTGGATGGATTCTACCTAAAAATTTCTTCTTGACAAAAGAAACAACCAGTGAGGTAAATAGAAAGCCTACAATATGGGAGCAAATCTTTACCACAAGCACATCAGATAGAGCACCAATCTCTAGGATATATAAAGCACTCAAAAATCTTAACACACACATACACACACACACACACACAAAAAAAAAAAAAACCAAACCCCAAACCAAAACCTAATAATAAATGGGTCAAGGAACTGAACGAACACTTCTCAGAAGAGGATATGCAATCAACAAATATATGAAAAAATGTTCAACATCTCTAGCAATTAGAGAAATGCAAATCAAAACTACTCTAAGATTTCATCTCACTCCAGTCAGAATGCCAGCTACCAAGAATACAAACAACAATAAGTGTTGGTGAGGATGTGGGGAAAAGGCACACTCATACAATGCTGGTGGGATTGAAAATTGGTGCAGACAATCTGAAAAGCAGTATGGAGATTCCTTGGAAAACTTGCAATGGAACCACCATTTGACCCAGCTATCCCTCTCCTCAGTTTATATCCAATAAACTTAAAAACAGCATACTACAGGGACACTGTCACATCAATGTTTATAGAAGCACAATTCACAATAGCTAAATTGTGGAACCAACCCAGATGCCCTCCAGTAGATGAATGGATAGGGAAACATTGGTATCTATACACAATGGAATATTACTCAGCATTAAAAGAGAATAAAATCATGGCATATGCAGGTAAATTGATGGAGTTAGAGAAGATAATGCTAAGTGAAGTTAGGCAATCCCATAAAACCAAAGGCCGAATGTTTTCTTTCATATGAGGATGGTGACTCACAATGGCAATGGTGAGGGGGAGCATGGGAGGAATAGGGGAACTTTAGATAGGACAAAGGGGATGGAGGGGAAGGGAGGGGGCATAGGGTAGGAAAGATGGTGGAATGAGTTAGATACCATTACCCTAAGTACATGTATGAAGAAATGAATGGTGTGAAAATACTTTGTGTACAACCAGTGACTTGAAAAATTGTGCTTTATATGTGTAATATAAAATGAATTACATTCTGCCATCATATATAACAAATTTGAATAAATAAATAATTTAAGAAAAAAAAGAAGCCTACATCCACAAGTCTGGGATCTGCACTGTTGTGAAACCTGGGTACCCATAGGGAATGCACTTTTATCAAGGGATACAGCAAGGGCCTCAATGAAGCACAGGCTACAAGTGTTTACAGAACATCTTGGACTCCCTGTGTCTAGGGACCATAAAGTTGAGAAATTAGACATCTCATCTAGGACATGGTAGAACTGATCACAGAATGGGTGCAAGGAAAGAATCATACCACTTATGACCTGTTTATGTGTCTTTGTGCTCTATTGAACAATTGAGACTGAATGGAAATAGAACAGCACTCCTAGGAAATGAACCATGGCTTAGATTACACCACTAAGTAACAACAGAGACTAATAAGTGATATCTGAGGATGAAAAGAAACTAGTGTCAGGCAGGGAGAAGTGAGGAGATGCCCACTGGTTGTGGCCTTTGGAACTGCAGTAATGGGGTTATTATCTCTAACTTTTCTCTTAGCTTTCCTACAGGTCTGTTGGAATCCTGGAGAAATCCCGGAGAAATCCCATGGGCATGTACAGAGAACCAGATCTGCATGGTACAAGATGTGGTTTGACAGTCACAGAGGCATGCTCCAGACCTCCCTTTGAGAATGGGCCCAATACCAGTGTTAGTGCAATCAAAGACTTGAGTCCCTTAACTAAAGTATTCCAGATCATGGCCTGAACCCAGGGAAACTCTAGTTATAGGCACATGCCAGGCTACAGACTTGAGATGGGGAGGCTAATGTTGACAAGTTCCACTTTTAATCCCTCTAGACTTCCCCCTGTGGTTTCTAGATATACCTGTGCTCCCTCCCAGAATCAAAAGGTGGCTTAAAATGTTAGGTAAACTTGGTTTTCATGAGTAATCTAAGTTAAAAGTGAATAAATCAGATTAACATAAATGGGACAAACATCAAAAATATGGTTTTTAAAATTGTTGCTTAAGATTGCTTTTTTTCTGGTCTTCACTGAAAGCATGGGTTAAAATTCTACTTTCATGCATGTTCTAAAATACTCTCAGGATGATAGGATACTGTTTTATTTGGATCCAATGTCACCAGACTTTAGGCTCCTGAAGGTCAACACTCCTGAACTCCTGACTTGGGCAAGGGGTATCTGAGCCAGGTGCAGTGGCACCCACTCCTCCACATGCTGTGTATCCTTCACTATCTAAGCTAAGGAAAACATCATGTACAATTTCTTGTTTCACATTCTCTTCCCTGTAAGCACTGGGTTTGGTAATCCTTTCTTATTTATCTGTTTTTCATATCTGTTACTGGCCCTTTTGGATGAGAGTTATATTACATTGATCTTATCAGCAGTCTCTTAAATATCTGATTGAATGGGCCACCTATAAGTAAAAACCTGCCTAATAGAAAGATGTTTCACTATCTCATCTTTAAACAATCCTCTGTATAAATATATAATGTTACAATTAAGGTTGGTCTGTCTAAAGTAAAATATATGAAAGAAATTCTAAGTGTACAGATATTTATTCAATTATATGTTACAGAGTCTAAACAGTCAGGCACTAAGTTTACCAGAAGATAATCCTAAGTACTTTCTTTTATACATGGCCATAAAAAGGCCACACTGTTATTTGAAGATCTGACTTATATCAGTTTACTTTGACTAAATCAATTTCTAATCATTAACACTGTTTCCTAAATGTATAAGAAACTTCAGGGTATCTTTTGATTTTTGTTAACCCATGCAGACCCATGATTATTGTTACCATACTCTCTAAATTCTAAATTGTGCTTTGAAAGTTAAACTTAATTAAATGTAAGGCTTAGGAGAACACATTGCCACATTAATATTCTCCAAACCAAAATTATCTGTAACAAAAATCTCACACTTATATAGAAAAAACAAATTGGATTGATATTAATTCATCTCATTTAATGTTTTATAGCTGGATAAAGTAAACTGTTATCAATACATTATATATACAAGTTTTTGTTACTCTTCACACTAGAATTGGTATTAAAATGCATTTTTAAAAGAAAATATGGAGAGCATAATCTGTTTAAAGGTAATGTAAAACATGAAAACATTAATGCACATATCCACACAAAAGGAAAGTTAAAAGCTCTTTTAGTCTTTCTCTAATTCATGTTTTAAATACAATGTTATGTTAACTAATGGTCATATAGACTCAATAAACAATATGTACAAACTTTGTAAAATGACATTTAAGAGACAAAATCAGCTTCAGAACTAAAACATTTTACCTAAAATTTATCAAGAGCCATAACTTACCTGAGATAAGGCCTTGCCTTCCACCTTATTACATGTTGCAGTGGCTCCAAAACAGACCAAACTTCTGTTCATTTAAGGTTGCGTTCTGAAGATTGATGCTTCTTACAAAGATTACCATGGTCTCAAACAGGGATATAAAGTATAAGGCAGCCAAAGTTCAAGAGAGATAGTATATACACTGAACATGTTTTTACTCTTTTTTTTTTTGGTATGGAGAATTGAGCTCAGGGACTCTCAACCACTGAGCCACATTCCCAGCCCAATTTTATTAGAGACAGTCTCACTGAGTTGCCTAGTACCTCCCTGTTGCTGAGGCTGGCTTTGAACTTGCAATCCTCCTGTCTCAGCTGCCCAAACCCCTGGAATTACTGGTGTGTGCTACCATGCCCAGCCATGAACATGTTTTTCTCTTGTAATTTCATTTTTTATTTTCCTTGTAAACTCAATAACTGCTGACTCTTAAGGTTTTTCAGAGGTACTACTTCAAGAACACACAACCTAGATTAATTTGAGATAATAAGCCATCACCTACAGGGAAGACCCCAATTAAATATAAGGGATAAAAGACAATAAAGTTATAGACATTGAAGTTAAAACCCAGTACTTTTACTGATGAGACTGGCTTGCTGGATGATTAAGATCAAGGCTTAAAAATTGAGGTTAAAATAAAGAAGGCAAGGCTTTTGCCCTCTGAGTCAGCCTAAACCCGGGTAATGAGAGAACTTCTCTAAGGAACTTTACAACTCTGGGCCACATAACCTCCTGGGCAGGGAGATTAATGAGACCCCTGGAGAATGGAAGGCCAATCAGTGCACTGCTACAAATAGGGGGATCACTGGAAAAGGGAGACAAACCTAATGTTTCCAAGAGAAGCCATCTCATTAAGGAGACCCTAACCCATCCTACCTAGCAGATGACACTAAAAGAGCTAAGAAGCTGCTTTCAAGTTCCCCAAGAATTACCCCTTGCAACATCTGCAGTGGGAACTCAGCTGACTCTTAGTAGCAGATAGAAACCAGGTCCATTTGAACAGCACCTAGCAAAAACAGCTATAACCAAAATACAGCCATCTGAGCATTTTAGAGGAAAAAATTATTTTATATGTAACTTAGGAGGTACACTTATGTCAGTCCCACAGTCCTTGATGTCCCCAAATTTCTAAAACTTATGCTTTATGAGGATCATATTTGCCCCTGTGTAAGAATGGCCATAGCCTAAGGAACTCCATTTTAAAATAAAACTGCAGTCCCCACCAGGCACGCCTACAGAGCCCTCCAATATTATCATCAGGCATAAAATAAGTCACTTTCCACAACCCTGATAAAACTCAGAGTGAAGTCACTGCCATTTGCTTTCACCCTGATAAGAGTCAAAGGTGTGGGATCAGGACAGAAAACCACCAAACCATATGTCCTGACTCTAAGATGAAAGACGTCACTAAGATGTCACTAACAGCTGATAGGGACTGAAAGGGCACACGGAAGCCCCCAAATTTAGTATAAATGATGAAGAAAATGAACAGACACCCAGCCAGCTGACACTGATGCTCACCTGCCAGAGAGCCTGATGAGGACCTGGACTGACACCTCAATTCTCATCATCTGCCTGATCCTTGGCATTGCTCTCCAACTCTACAGCAGCCTCCTGACCCTGGTGAGAATGATGGTATGCCCTTATGACTGTCTCTTTGGCAAGCCATCAACTCCATGCCAGGAGAAGCCTCCATCAGTTCCTGACCTGGTCACTGTGGTCTGAGTGAGTGGGCATCTGCTGGACTGAAGACCTAAGGCTTAAGACTTTATACCTAGTACTTAAGCTTAAGAGGGGATGTCTGTATTAGGTCTGTAATGAAGAGGTGTGTTTGCAGTGCTTAGAGTTAACTTAGAATTTTTTGCTTTGAATTGATTATGTCTATTGCAGTGCCTAGCATTAAGAATTGTCATTTTCTTGATTAAGAACCTATAGAGTAAAATTGTATTGAGTGATTTGAGTGAATAAAGTATTGAAAAGGGCAGAAGCAGTGGACATTCTTTATTTCTACCCTCAACTGCAGATGTCACAATTTTGTCCATCGTGACACCCTGCCTACCAATATTAAATTGATCTCTATACCTCAATTTTCCTTACTTCTCAAATGGACATTTAACCCCACCACCAAAGCCTGCCATTTCAATAACAGCCCACAGCAGATACAGGAGGGTCTTGACATACTAAACACAGAGAAGGGAGGCCCTTGTGCCTTTTTAGGAGAGAAATGCTGTAATTTTGCCAACAAATCCAGAATATTCCAAGGAAAAATAGCTGAGCTCTAGGAGAGCATTGAGAAATTCTTCCAGGAGCAGCAGCAGTCATCTCCCTGGAATCATTTGGGCCAGACTCTCCCCTGGTTATTCCCGTTGATGGGCCCTCTTCTTACCTTCATCATAATGCTCTTAATAGGACTTTGTTTGGTAAAATGCTTGACAATTTTTTTTACAAGATTGAATAAAGGCACTGTAAGAAGCATATGCCATATACATGCTGGGACTCACTAAGTTGCTAGGAACAAGGAACAGCAGCCTTTGGCATGCTTAGTCATGTCTGCTTGCAATTGATATCTACCCATAAGGGGTGCTAGCCATAGGCATGCTTAGCAATGACTGGTTACAATTGATAGGAAGCACGGCTCCGTGGACATGCACAAAGATCATACCCAATTGCAATTACATCACCTCACTGGACATAACCAATGGACATTGACTTTCAAGAGGTGTGACCAATCACCAATGTACACCACCAATGTGGAACTGTATCTAAACTGCTTGTCCTGACACATTGCAGGTTTTGCTCCAAGGACATTGGTGAGACTGGCCACCTTGCTGTCTGTCTCTGGATCAACTCCACCATTCCCTGATGTCCAGCCATCGACTGAAGAGAACTACCAAATGAAGACAATGTCTGCTCTTCAGCTAAGAGAAGTCATATGGCATAGGAGGTATTTTGGGGCTCATGGTTGCCCTAGGATTCTGTGATTTGTTTGTAGCATTTAATTGTCCTGGGATAGTTTGACTTGCTTAAAGTGTTTAATTTGTGTGCATTGAATTCTAGTTGGGGTGCCACAGCACACCCGACATTTTTTGCCTTAATTGATTATATCTGTTGATTGGTATGATTGAATATACGCTTGCTTTTAAAGACAATGTTGAATCTGTGACACAAAGAAAAGACCACCGACTCCAATTTTAAACCAAGTTAAAGCAAGATTATATTGTGTATACAGGAGAGCTGATCAGTGACTGCCTCATCCAAAGGCTGGGAAAGAGGACAGCATCCGGTCTAAGAGCAGGGTGGTTTTTACTAAAAAAAGTTACAAAGACAGGTGTCTTGGGAACTTACAGCTAACAGCGTTCTTACAATACAAGGGCAGATAGCATATTAGTGATCTACATGGCTTAATATTTCAAGGTAGGGAGTAAATTCAGATTCCAATATCAGAATATATGAGGCACTGCTGAGGTTTCAGAGAGGGTTGTTATCTGGTCAGAGAGAGTAAGACATGGGTAAATTCAAAGTACAGGCAGGAATTCCAAACAAGTTTAAAAACCAAATGTGGTCAGCCAAATAGAAATCTTAATATTTTACAGTAAAACAGAAATGAACCTTTCATGACCTTGTGTCGAGATGGCTCCCAATCTTAAAATGGAATTAGTCTGGGTTTTTCACACAATCCACTTCTGAGTAATGATTAATAGCAACACTTGCAACAGGCACTCACAAATCAGACTATAAACCAGCTCTTTATGAGCCAATATGGCCCCCTCCTGGAAGTTCTGGCCTAAGCCCTTCTTCACCCCCATTCAGCTCCAAGAAGCCAGAACAAACTAACAAATGATGCTCCTTATCTTTGTAAGACAAAAGGCCAGAATGATGGATCCCTAGGTCAAAGTAACCTCATTTTGAAAATCAACACCTGCCCAACCAGGCATGACCTTCCCATTAGGCCTGCCCTGAAAGAGTCCCTAACTGCTGAAACCTCAGCAAAGACATCAAGCAGAATCAATCACAGGACCAGTTGGATTATTTTTAAACTACTCTGTTGTACTCAACTACATAATCAAGAAGTTTCCCCAGCAGGCTGCCGTGCCTTGCAGAAGGGCAGCCTGGAGATATTCTCTGTCAATACTCCTTTGCTGGAATTCAGAGCTGTATATTTATTTATTGACCCAAATAATAAGAACAATTCTAAGTAAATGTAAACCATACACAGCAGAGGCAAAAGACAGACTTCCCAGTTACTAAATCAGTGTGCTTATTACCAGGAATTTGGACATTGGAAAAATGAATTCCATCAACGTAATTGGAGGGACTTCCCTAAGCTGCAGGCCAGTGTCCCTCAGCCAAAATCAGTTATAAATTTAGAAGAATGGGGGGGGGGCATGGCCCTTTCAAACTATTCCCCCAGGAGCCCATGGTGACCTTCTCAATTGGGGCCAACCTGTAAATTCCCTAGTGGATACAGGGGCTTCACATTCAATATTAAAGAAGCCCCAGGACTCCTTACAACAAAACTATGGTAGTATAAGGGGCAACAGGAGAGAAAAATTTAAATGGACCACAAATTGACTGTTAACATAGGACACGGAACTGTAACTCACACTTTCTTTGTTATAACTGAATGCCCTTTCCCATTGCTGGGGAGGGACATTTTAAGCAAACTTCAGGCAACTATATCATTCTCGGGGGAGATACCTACACTACAATTGGGAAGCACCACCAAAGCTTTGACTAGGACCTGGCCATTAAGTGAGGAATATCTGCTCTTTCAAATTCCAACCCAAGCTCCAGATGGAAAATGGAAAAAATTATTAATCCAAGAATTTCTTACTGTTTGGGCTGGGAATATCCCTCCTGTTTAGCCAAGCATGTGCCACCAGGCCATAATACAACTGACATTTGGGGCTATACCCATTCAGGTTAAACAGTACCCTCATCAGCTTTGAAGTCAGAGAAGGAATTAAAACCCATATCAGGCATCTCCTGGAAATAGGAATACTCACTAGATGCCAATCAGCTTGGAACACCCCTTTGTTTCCATTCAAAAGCCAAGAACGCAAGATTATAGACCAGCACAGGACTTAAGGGAGGTAAAAAAAAAAATGGGTAGAAACCATATACCCAACTGTCCCAAACCCCTACACTTTGCTCACCAGAACATGTGGTCTATACAGTATTGGATATGAAAGATGCCTTTTTCTCCATTTCTTTGTCAAAACTGGGTCAGCCTATCTTTGCTTTCAAAATGACTGATCCTAAGTGGGGGATATTGGGACAACCGACTACCCCAGGGATTCAAGAACTTCCCCACTTGCTGCAGTCTGGCTGGGCACACAATCACGAGCCACCACACAGCTTGTAGATTCAAACAGCAACTCTTTATTCCCGAACTCACACCAGCTGTCTATAATCATGTTCTGGGGAAATCCACGTTCTCTGCCCAAATCCATGTTCTCTGCCCAAATCCACCCTACTCGGCTTCTGTCTCCCAAAAAATACTGTCTGAATCCCGTGAGAACTCAAGGGGAACTCAGGCAGCAGGATACGCCCTATTCCCAGCAGGAATAATCTTAAACCTGGGACCACCCTAAACCTGGATAGTCCTAAATCGGGAACGCCCTAAACTCGGATCCGCCTTGGTCCTTGAGCAAGGTCACTACATGCAATGTCACTGCAAAATGTCCTATTTCCACGAGTCCTTCCACTAAGCAACATGGGGTATGCTGGCAAGGAAATTGTCATACCTACTTGGCTAATGGCTCCCAGCACCCACCATCTTTGATGAAGCACTCAACCAAGGCCTGAGCCTTTTCCACAGTGGGTACCCCGAGATAACCTTGCTCCTATATGTGGATGATCTCTTGTAGCAGCAAAAGGCAAGGAGGACTGCTTAAGGGGCTTGCTGGGTGTACTGAGTCTCCAAGAAAAAGGCACAAATCTGTTCTTCTCAGGTTACTTATTTAGGAAAAGAACTGAGGGAAGGGAAAGGCTGCTGTCCCAAGCTCGCATAGAAACCATAATAAAGATTCCAACCCAAACCACTAAAAGGTAGGTTAGGGAATTCCTAAGGGCAGTTGGATACTGCTGCTTTTGGATACCTGGTTTACTGAAATTGCAAAGCCTTTATATACTGCAACTGCGGGAAGCAACTCACTTTTACATTGGACTGAGGAGAATGAATTAGTCTTTAAAAATTTAAAGGAGGATCTTGTTCGGACCCCTGCCTTAACCTTCCCTGATATCTCTGAGCCCTTTCATCTGTATGATTAAGAGAGAAAGGGCATTGCTAAGGGAGTTCTTACCCAAAATTTAGGGCCATGGAAAATACCAATTGCTTACTTTTCAAAAAGGCTGGATCTAGTAGTATCAGGATAGCCCCTTTGTTTACGGGCTATAGCTGCTACTGCAGTCTTGGTAACGGAAGCAGACAAACATTGGGGTAAACTCTGTGACCACCCCTCATGTGGAAGAAGCCCTACTGAGGGATGCCAGTAGTCATTGGATGTTAAATGCCCATCTCTTCCAGTATCAGGCTCTCCTCCTAGACAAGGACAGATTGACCTTGGATAAATCCATGGCAATCAATCCTGCAACCCCGATGCCTGATGACAACCTGGAAGAGCCGGTCCATGACTGCTCAGAGATGCTGGACATCATCCAAGGTACCCAACCAGACCTGACTGACATTCCTCTCACTGTCAGAGATGCAGACCTTTACACTGATGACGGCAGTTTTGTCTGGGATGGAATAAGGTATGCGAGAGCAGCTGTAGTTATGGGCCAAAAATAAATTATATGGGCACAGGCTTGTCCAGGGGCTCATCAGCTCAAAAAGCAGAAATCATTGCTCTGACTCAGGCATTGAGATGGTCAGAAGGAAAATAGGTGAACATTTACACAGAGATCCACTATACCTTTGCTACAGTGCATGTGCATGAACAGACATACAAACAAAAGGGACTTTTAACTTCAGATGGCAAAACTATCAAAAATAAACAGGAAATCCTTCAATAACTGGAGGCTATCTAGTTGCCAGATAAATTGGCTATTATCCACTGGTCTGGACACTGAAAAGACAATAGTCCTCAGACCCAAGGTAACACCTTGGCTGATCAAATGGCCAGGGAAATAGACCCTGGGGAACCAAGACATCAAACTATTCTAAAACTCTCAAAATATCCAAAGCTCCTAGTTAGAATTGAGAAGGAAATTCCTTCAGACACTCCAGAAGAGATGGACTTATACTCCTCTATAGGAGCTCAACAAAACTGTCATGGCATATGGATCCTCTCAGATGGAAAAAATTGCATGCCAAAGTTGTTAGGGAAAAGATGGTTAACTGATTTTCATCAAGTGATGCATTTGTCCTCCAAGAAGACTTCAGAACTAATTTCACCTCATGTTTGGCTCCCAGGACATCCAGGGATATTCCAGGACATCTCAAATTGTTGTATGACCTGTGCACAGGTAAATGCTAAGAAGAACCAACTTCCACAGGGAAACAGAAGTCAAGGTACTGTACCTGGTGAATATTTGGAATTGGGCTTTACTGAAATTAAACCAGGACTATATGGATATAAATACTTGTTTGTTTTTGTTGAAACTCTCTCAGACTGGGTAGAAGCCTTTCCAACTTGAATGGAAACAGCACAAATAGTAGTTAAGAAACTAATAACTGAGATTTTTCTTAGATTTGGCCTTTCTCTAACCTTGGGGTCTGACAATGGCCCAGGCTTCATGGCCAAAATATCTCAATTGATTTCACAGGCTCTTAATATAAACTGGAAATTATGTTGTATGTGCCATCCTCAAAGCTCCGGAAAGGTAGAAAGGCTGAATAGAACACTGAAGGAGACTCTGACTAAGTTAATCCTTGACACTGGTGATAAATGGGTGGATCTCCTGTCTTTTGCCCTATTGAGGGCCCACTGAACTCTTTCCCAGGAAAAATTTACCCCTTATAAAATAATCTATGGGGGCTGGAGCTGTGGCTTAGCAGCAGAGCGCTCGCCTGGCATGTGTGAGGCCCTGGGTTCGATCCTCAGCACACATAAAAATAAGTAAATAAAATAAAGATATTGTGTCCAACTACAACTAAAAAAATAAATATTAAAAAAATAATCTATGGACGGTCACCTCCCATGGTCCCTAGAGTACACCAAGATCGGTTGGGAGACATTATAATCTCTGAGGCACTCAAAGGGTTACACTAATCATGGATAAGATCTTTCCTCAGGTCCAGGCCACTCAGCCCGTTGGACATAGACCGCCTGATCATTCATTCCAATCTGTTCACATTGTGCTGATACGTTGTGCTGTCAAAACTGACAGCCTCAAATCTGGGTGGAAGGGCCCTTCCATTGTGATTCTCCGCACTCCTACTGCTATCAAAGTTGCTGGTATTCCTGCCTGAATCTATCACTCACAGCTTAAGAAGGCACCTGCAGAAGCCACTGGAGGAGAATCCAGTGGCCAGAGGTAGAAAGTGACTGAGCATGGACACTTTAAAATTAAAATTTCTGGGCTGGGGATGTGGCTCAAGCGGTAGCGCGCTCGCCTGGCATGCACGGGGTGCTGGGTTCAATCCTCAGCACCACATAGAAGTAAAATAAAGATGTTATGTCCACTGAAAACTAAAAATAAATATTAAAAAATTCTCTCTCTCTCTCTAAAAAAATTAAATAAAATTTCTAAGGTTTAATATTTTGTTACTATTTTTTTTAAAGAGAGAGAGAATTTTTTTAATATTTATTTTTTAGTTTTTCGGCAGACACAACATCTTTGTATGTGGTGCTGGGGATCGAACCTGGGCCGCACGCATGCCAGGCGAGCACGCTACTGCTTGAGTCACATCCCCAGCCCCTGTTACAAATTTTTTATTGTTTTCTTTTTACCATAAGCACTATGCTAATAATTTTTACCTGTTGGAGTATATATATAACCTTAAGCTTTAGCTATGCTAGCCTCAACAAACCTTGCGCCCAAGTAGGACCTGCCATTACTGGATCTCCACTAATACTAAACTGTACCTACTCATGTCAAGATCCAGGAATTGGCCCAATCGAATTTTTCAGTCAGGTATTCAAGAAGGGACCATGGAAAAATCTTACAGACCAATCTCGAGGGGATAATATAAATTTTGGAATCTATAAAGACTCAGCTCACCCTCAAGATTCAGGACAGTATTCCTGTACTAAGATAAAAAAGGGACCCCGATAGACACTGTCTATTCAAGAGCTACTTTAAATGTGAATGTTTCCATGGCCCCCTAAATTATATAAATACTCAGAACTTTTGGTTAAAATTGGCTGTTAATACTATGGACAAATACTCCTTCTGCATATGAGAAGGAAACTCAATCCATCAATTGTTAACTAATAATCTTATGGGCCTATCTGTAAAACATAATGATTATGTTAAAGTCACTGGCCTGTGTACCATGCAGAGTCAGCTTTACCACCTTCACTGGTTATCCAAAAACATTGTTTATGCACAGATTGCACCTTCCCTGATTCCCCCCAAATTGCTCCATTAAGCAAGACATTTCCTACCCGGTGGCAAACGACTGCCTACTGGATGGGTTTTTCTCTGTAATAAAACAACTTTTCAGGCTTTGCCTGCAAATTTTTCTGGGATCTGTTCTATTGGATGGATGTTTCCTTTACTGTCATCTCTGGCATCTCCCCACTGAACTACCCAAAGGCTGCCCTCTGACTGTGAAGACAAGTTAATCCTCCTGGACCTACTAGAGGTTGCAGTTGCAGCAGCCTTTCTTTTGCCAGTCCCAGGTCTAGTGGTAGGAACACAGAGAGAAATCACAAAATTAGCCTAAGGTTTTAGCAAAACAGCTAACCTCACTGAACAGGTCTGGGCAGGAATTAAGAGATGAAAGAACTCGGAACATCCACATTACAAAATAGAGCAACTATTGATTTTATTTTACTAAAACACCATTTGGGTTGTCAACAATTCCCAGGCATGTGCTGTTTTAATCTTACAGATAATTCTAATGTTATCCAACAACAGACAGAAAAATAAGACAGGACATTAACAAAATTAAAATGGATAACTTTTGGTCAGGCTTGGGAAGTTAGTTTCCATGATTGAATTCTCTATTGGGTTCCATAATTTGGGTTCTTCTTCTTTTTTTTTTTTCCTTTAATTTTTATTGTTGGTTGTTCAAAACATTACATAGTTCTTGACATATCATATTTCACACTTTGATTCAAGTGGGTTATGAACTCCCATTTTTACCCCGTATACATATTGGGTTCTTCTCCTATTAGTTATTGTCCCATGCTTCATTAACTATACGCTCCAGTTTATTGGACTACAACACAAGTCTATTATGTACCATTGACAGTATTAGCCTATATGATGGACAATACTAACTGCTCCCTATCAAAGATTTGAAGGGGACACACAAGACAAGGAGGGAAATGATGAACCCAGCCTAATTCCAGTTTAAGATTGGGAGCTATCTCGTCAGAAGGTCATGAAAAGTTTATTTCTGCTTTAATGTAAAATACTAACATTTCTATTTGGCCTGACCTTACTTTGATGTTTTAAACTTGCTTGGAACGCCTGCTCATGCTTTGAACTTACCTCTGCCTGGCTCTCTCTGAACTGATAAAAACCCTCCCTGAAATCTCAGCTTCTCCTCATTAATTCTGATGTTGGAATCTGAGTTTACTCCCTGCCTTGGGACATTAAGCTGTGTAGATTATTAACCTGCTACCTGCCCTTGTATGATGCTTGCAGAACCTTGCCAGCTCTCTTACACCACCTCTGTGTTATGGAACCTCCCTGCTCTTGGACCAGGGACATTCTCTGGCCCTGCTTTTGGGTGAGGCAGTCACTGGTCAGCTCTCCTATGGACACAATACGAGCTTGCTCTAATTTGGTTTCAAATTGGAGTCGGTGGTCTTTTCTTTGCATCATGGTTTCAACACTTGCTCCCTGACTGAGGGCCCTTGTCCTGCAGGTGGTGTCAAGCCTCCCCTGCTTGGCCTCCTCCCGGGCTTTCCTCTTCCCTGAGAGCTGGCCCTTTCCCCACTCGTGGCTCTCACCTGCTCTTCCCCCTCCTGGCTGTCTCCATTTCCCTCATGCACTTATTCACATTACTCTGTGCCGGGCTCTCTGAGGTTGTATTACTGCAGGTTTCTCCTGCACTGTTTTTCCTCTTGTAATTCCCTTAATGTTAGTGTGTGTGATTTTCTCATTCTTTTTCACTACAGTTTGCTCTTCTTAGGTAAAAATGGTTTTTCTATTCCTCTCAAACCACTTCCTCTAAACTTCTGAAAGAATTTTGATTTCTCTGGTGTGAGAACTTAGAATGGTATTTGTGAAGTAGGTCTGAAATGTATTTTTACAGTTAGGTTTGTCTTGGCCCCTGTTTCATGGTTCTTGTGATTTTTTCCCCTCTAGAATACCTGTTATGTCATCAATCTGCTTTCCCCATAAAGGCAGCCCACTGAAAACTTCATTATCTCTTGGTTCCTTCTTCCTCTGTCTGCTAATTCTGTGCTGTTTGGAGTATCATATTTGGAAAATCCCAGATGTACAGTCATATGTCACTTACATACAGGGATACATTCTGGAGGAGCATTTTTAGGCCACCTCATGATTGCACAACATCACTCCCTATTCACATGATCCTGGTGGCACAGCCTCTTGCACACCTAGGCTCTGTGGTGTCGGTGGTTCCTGGGCTACAAACCTTCCCAGCATGTTGCTTTACCAAATCCTGCAGTTGACAGTGCATTAGGTTTATTATACCAGCATCACTGCACACACACAAGGAATCTCATAAAATAGACACCCATATGTGTATCACTATGTGACCAACATGTCCTTGAAGAAAACCTTGTTGTGTCCACCTGACTGTATATTAGACAAGCCAGCAGTCTGCATTTCAGACAATGTTAACAATTGTTACAAATTTCTTATGATTATTAGGCTTAGCAAATTACTTTCTTGGTCATTATAAAGTCTATTTTGGAGATTTATATAATTCTGCAAGGCTATCATTTGGAAGAGGTGAACTTTGGTGACACTGAGTTATTCCTAAGATACACATATCTTTCCACTTACCCCTTTCTGCTTTGATATTATTAGAACTATTGGAAATTTTTTGTTTATCAGTCATTGTTCCTGTTTGTTGGTTGGGTAAATTTTGTCCGGAGTAAACTAGTTGCACCCTTCTAATTTTTCTCATTTCTAATTTTGTGATCACCTGGTTGAAATTTTTTCTACAGAAAAGCTTCCAATCTCCTTGAGCAGAGGGTTGGGCTTTTTTTGTTTGTTTTGTTTTCAGATGGGTGGTCCTTTAGTTTCTAAGGTAAGAGTAGAACAAAATAATCAGATTTCTGAAGGAAGGCATGTGTTCAGTAACAACCAAGCTGCTTATCTATACTCTCAGCACTAGTGATACTGCCGGTTACTGGTGATGAGTTCTGCTCCCTTGGAGAAGCACGCTGAGGCAAGCATATGAAGCAGGGTTTATTTAAAAAGGGGTCGCCTAGACTTCTCCCTCTCAGAGGGAGAAGGAGGCTATAGCTAGTATCCTGGTATCCCCAGAAGTGAGGTGTTCTGCCCTTTTTATATGTCCTAGGCTTCCTTTGTTCCCCTGCCCTCTTCACCATATCTTTCCCCAAAGGTGGGACACAGGTTCTGAAGTGGGAAGGGCAGGATAGTGCAGCCTAGGACACATTAACAACCTTATAGCTCCTTGTAGGGAGGGACAATTCCTGGAACAGGTTACCTAGGCAACAGGTTGGAGAAGGGGCAGGTTCTTGATAAGGGTGGAGGAAGGGCTCTGAAGAAATTAACATTTAAATCTCTCGGGGGACAGTCTCCAGCTTCCCAGGGTCCCTAAAAATTGGCCTTGATCCGACCTGACTTGATTTACTTATCTATACTGGCTGCCTGTCTAATTGTGGCTTCACTAAGACTCAGTGTTACTGCTTAGTTTTGTGAGATCCCTTCCAAATTCTAGGCTCCTTCTACCAGCAAAGGTCCAACTTTGTCAGCAGGTTTCCAAATGGTTGTCATGAGGACTAATATTAACTCTATTCTGGACCCAAGGTAGCAGGGCTTTATTATTCATGTATTAGACATGCACCTACAAAGCCATTATGGCTGACCCAGGAGAATACCTACTCCCTGGACTCCACAGAGAGAAGGGTGTTTTTGCTCTGCTGATGATTTTATTGATAGTTCACATGTTATGTTGTAACACTGCTGTTTGGGGAAGTGCAGACTGAGGGTACAGGTTTTGATACAAAATCGTGAAATAAATATTTGGAGACCTCAGAAATGTGAGAACATCTCACATGGGCAGATAGAGCCCTCATGCTGTCAATCTCTCCTGGTCTGCACTACACTTTTCTGGAATATTTTAGATTTTAGTGTCCTTTGAGGATGTGGCTGTGAACTTCACCAGGAGGAGTAGGCTTTGCAGAATTCTTCCCAGAAGAATCTCTACAGAGATGTGATGCAGGAAGTCCTTAGAAAGCTGGCTTCTATAGGTAAAGATAATGTTTTATTACATAATCAAACACTGTGTAATTGGGAGGTTTTTTTAAATTTATTTTTTATATTAAGGTTTTGTAAGGGACCGCTGAAGCGTCGGAGGGAGAGACCACCAAGAGACCACTCATGCAATTAGCAGAAGGGGATTTATTGATCCAGCATGCTGGGGCTTTGTGCCCACTCAAGAAATGAGAGCAGCCCAGAGCCCAGAGCAGGGGCTGAGCACTGCTTAAGTACACTTCTTGGGGAGGGCGGGGACTTTACATACATCACAGTCTCCTTTAACAAATCATCATACACCACGGGAAAATCAAACAACAATTCCTAAACATGATTAGTTCATTCATTGGCAGGAACAGGTCAGGCGGGGGTGATTGGTTACTCCTAAAGCGGGGTACACATTCAAACTGATTGGTCCAGGCCCTGTGATGCCTACGTGCAAGGCTACACAGAGCCCTTAAGTTATTAAACAACCAGGCGGTCAGGGGAAATATTTACTGGGCGGTCCCAAGCATTGTCTTAACAGCTACAGGAATTTCAGATTTTGCATGTAGCATAGGAACTTAACAATGCCTGGTCCTTTACATTTTAACTCAGGCCTTGCAGCTTAGAAACTTTACAATGCCCGGTCTTTTACACTTTAACTTCAATTTCTTTTACCCTTACAGTTTGAATCCTGGAGTGTTCCACCACTGACCCACATATGTAGCCATTTTTATACTTTATTAAGAGACAAGGCCTCCATAAGTTGCTGAGGCTGGTTTTGAACTCAAGATCCTCCTTCATTAGTCTCCCAAGCTGCTGGGAATTCAGGCATGCACACTGGGCCTGGAAAGTGGCATTTTTTTTCCCTCATGGATTTCCTCATGGATTATGGAAAGCTAGTATTTGGGGGAATAAATTGGGTCTTATGTCATTGCATTGTGCAGCATAAATTTCATATTTTTTCCCCTTTTTCATTGTGGCATTATAGTTGCCCCTATTGTAAATCCCATAATTTATTCTGATATCATGATGATTTGTAATAATTGCTCTGTATCTACTTTTTAGGAGACAAATGAGAGGATTAGAACACAAATCCTGGGAGAGATCTAAGGTAATTTGTATTCAACAGAGAAAACAGAGTGTCTTAAGGAAACTGTAACATGTCCTATAAATTCACAAACAATCAAACAAGCATGATATGAACTACAGTTATTCTTATTTAACCAGACATTTGAACTTTAAGATACATGTTTAGTGGTTTTAAAAAATAATTGATTTTTAATAGTATTCACAAACTGCTTTTATGATCTCACTGTTTTAGTACTAGCTATGAGAAGCCATGTTGCTAAGTCTTCATTACATTTATTTTCAAAGAGTTTGGACATGACTGAAATCCAGTACTTTCCCTGACACTGGTAATAGTGTAAGTGGAATACCAACTAATCTATATAAAAGCATTAATGAGTCAACCATAAATCGCCTTGTAATTTTTTTACAGAATTCATATGGTAGGTTCTGGAAAATTTTAAATAGGTACTCAGCATAGAAAAACCTTTAATGAGATTTCAACTCTTAGTCTTCACCAGGACTTTCCCATTAGAGTAAGTCCATGTGAAAGGAGTATGTATGGACAAATGTCAATGTAACTCTTTTTCCTTAATAGGCACATTATATCTCACTCTACAAACAAATCATATGAGAATGAAGAGAGTGGAGGGAAGCTATACAAACTTAAACTGAACAGAACATCTTTCATTTCTTGCACAAGTGTTCAAAGACAAGATTTACCATAAATGAACCTTATGAATATCTACATGTGGAAAAGAGTTGAATTGTTCCATGTGTTTTCAAAAATATTGACAATCTCACACTGGAGAGATGGCTTACAGATAAAAACAATGCGGGAAAACCTTCACTCATTTTCCTTACTTTCAAATTCATACATGAACTTATACTGGAGAGAAGCTCTATGAAAGTAAACAGTGTGGGAAAACCTTTGTTTATTATACTTCCCTTCAGCTATATAAACAAATACATACTGGAGAGAAGCCCTTTGAATGTAAGCAAGTGGGAAAGCCTTCAGTACTTTCTCTCACCTTCAAATACATGGACCATATCACACTGGAATGAAAACCTATGAATGTAAACAATGTGGGAAACCCTTCACCATGTCCTTTTACCTTCAAAGACATAAACAAAGTCATACTAGAGAGAGGCCCTATGAATGTAATTAATGTGGAAAAGCCTTCAATTGTTCCTTTTACCTTTACAGACATGAATGATTTCATAATGGAGAGAGGCCTTATAGATGTAAACAATGTGGGAAAGCCTTCACTAGTTGTGCTTCCTTTCCCATAACTGAGTGACTCATACCAGAGTGAATGATGTTATTGATGTAATAGTGTGTGACAACCTTGGCTACATCCAGTCACTTTCATTCACATGAGAGAACTCATGCTGGAGAGATGTTCTGTAAATGTAAACAATATGGGAAAGCCTTTACTTGTTGCAGTTACATTTTAAAACATCAAGCAACTCATACAGGAAAAAAATTTCTACTAAAAAATGTGGAAATGACTTCCATTTGGGGGGTTCTGTTTTAAACCTGAAAGTAGTTGTATTGGAGAAAAGCCCATTGAATGCAAAAAACATGACAAATCACCTAATATTTTCAGTCATCTTCAATTACATGAAAGTATTCATAGAAAAGTTGAGAGAGAGAGAGAGAGAGAGAGAGAGAGAGTATATGTATATAATGAAAGTACTCACAATATAGAAGAGGCCCATGAATTTGAGAAATGTGGGAAAGCTTCCAAATTTCCCAGTTCCTTTGAAAGACAAAAAATTCACACAGGTCAAAACCTATGCAAGTAACTGAAAGAATGAACAAAGCTTGTCATCAGAGCAAATGCCCATTTATTGAGGAACAGCTCTGCATTTTTATAGAGCCAGGGGTGGTTTGACAGTTGGCATGGGGTGCTTTTTGATTGGAGGGTAAGGATCAGGTGAGCCAGCAGGGCTAGTCTGATTGGTGGGTAGGATCAGGTGAGCCAGCAGGGCTCTGATTGGGGGTAAGGATCATGTGATCCAGCAGCAGGGCTCACCATTGGATGGCTCTTCTTGGGGGATGGGGAAGTTAGTCTTTGGAGCCGGGGGGACTCCCAACATTCCCCCCCCCCACTTTGTTATTAAATTAGAATGGGCATCGACTTATTCTGGCTACTTACTGCTGAAATGGGGCGGTGTGGGAGAAAGAGGAGGGAAGTAAGGAGCCCCCACAGGAGGGCAGAGAAGACCAGTATCAATGAAGGTTCCTTGCCACCACAGATCCATGATGACATCAGTCCATTCAGCATAGGTCTCAACTGGAGGTATCATCAATAGCCAGGAGTTGGTAATTCCTGAGGAGAAGTTGGTTAAAACCTTGATTAGAAATTTTACCCACCTGAGTCTGAATGAACTTTATGATAGGGGGAAGGAACAGGCACAGGGAGTTTTTATAGCCCAAATCTAATGGGGTCTCTGGGTCTGCAAGCTGCCTTGTTGGCCCAAGGAGGGTTAAGTGTTCAACCCTGAGCAAGGGATTGAGTGTTCAGCCTTGAGCGGGGGCTTGGGTGTTTGGGATTGAAGCAAACAGGTGACATAGAACCAGACAGAGGGTTTGAGAGGCCAGCTAACTTTGTTTGGCATGCCCTGCAGGTCCTGCAGACCAGCCTGTCCTGCACCTAACACCCTCAATTCCACTCTTCATTCCTAGTCCAATCTAGCTCCCTCCCCTCTCTATTAAGGCTGCTCTTCAAACTTTCTCCTACCTGGGTGTACCAGCTACCACATTTCCCTTTGAAAGCAATCAGATCTCTCCAGGTTTTATGTGAAACACCTCAACCTTAAATACTGATACTTGGAATTCTTATGAAACTGGGAGGCCCTCTGGAGCCCTGTGTAAACTTGAAGGTGGACACACTAAGTGCATGCTATCACACTTGGCATAGATGCTCCAGCTAACCACTGGTCTGAGCAGCAAGTCTCAGTGGTACTTATGTATACTCCAGCTGCCATCAGAAGATGGTGACTTCTTCCCCCGGGAACTTAAAACTGAACTCAGACATGTACACACATACACATAGGAAAAGCAGAAACTCTATCAAAGCCTGTAACTAGCTCATGACACCAAAGTTTCTCACTCTTCTATTGGCAAACAGGCAGGACCCAAAGAAGCACCTTGGTTTTTCAGAAGCAGGGCATGTGGATCAGCATAACAGGGCAACCTCCACACAGGATGGAGAAATTGAGGAAAGGAAGGATTTAGAGAGCACTTCAGACAGGGGAAGACAGAATGATGATAGAGCAGGTGGGCTGGACCAGAGCACACCCAACGCCTCACCCAAGGAGAGCTCAGGTTGCCTCCCAGGACAGTCATGGACTCACTGAAGGTAACTCAGGTAGGGGTAGATATAAGCAAAAGGAAGAAACAACTTCAGCAGGAACCCAGGCATGGGAACACTGTTGGAGGGTGGTGATGGGAACACCAGCGTGTGCACATGCCCAAACTGTATGCGCCAACTATGTGTAGGGTCCTGCACACCAGTTACACCTCAATGAAACTGGGAGGGTAAACAAAACACACATGTTTCTCCTTAGGCCCAGAAGGCAACTGGTAAAGTACTCTCTTATGATCACACTTATTCAGGGGTCACCATGCTCTGGACACCTAAGTGGTTTGTCAGAAGGACAACACACAATGGTCACACTACCGGCCAGATCCAAGCAAGTAGGGGGTCTGTAAGGAAGAGAATGGGATCTGGCTGAAGGGGGCCCTTAGGGTCAATTGTCTTGAATAAAGGGCAAAGAGAGAACCCAAGAGGGGCCAGAAATGAGGGGGAGCATTGACAAGAGTACTTAATGACAGATGACGATCGTTGGCTCTTCTGATGAAGGTGTAGGAATGCCGGGCTTAAGCCTAGAAATATGAATCTATGGGGTAAGTTGGTTATTAGGTAGTCTGAGTTTGACTGCCAAGGGAGTGCACATAATCACCTGAGCAAGACCCTCCCAGTTTGGTTTTAGAGGGGGCTTTTCCCCCTGGTGGGCAATAGTAAAAAAGTTGACCAGGTGTTATGGAGGTAGGGTTTTGAGAGAGACTGGGGTCAGGAAGGAGCCAGGCTTGATAGCGCCAGAGTTCAGAGCATAGATGGAAGAGGAGGGGCAGGGCATAGGTTTCAGAGATGGGTAGGGGTTCTGTAGGCAGTCTGGGAGGAACGAGGGGACGGCCATACATGACTTTGAAAGGTGAGAGATTAGAAGGCTTTTTTGGCAGGGGCCTAATGCGCAATAAAGCCAAGGGGAGCACCTTTACACAGTCCAGGCTTAATTCCATGGTGAGCTTGGTGAGGGTCTCTTTAAGGGACCGATTGGTCCTTTCAACCTTTCCGGTAGCATGGGGGCAGTAAGGGCAATGGAAATGCCAAGGGAGTGATAGCACGTGAGCCAGTCCCTGAGTTATCTGCGAGGTGAATTCTGGGCCATTATCTGATTGGATAGAAGTGGGCATCCCAAAATGGGAGATTAAGCAATAGATCAACTACCATAGAGGCCCATTTATTGGAAGTGGGAAAGGTTTCAACCCATCCCAAAAAAGTATCTACCAATACAAGAAGATATTTTATGTTTTTTACTTGGGGCATGTTGGTGAAATCAATCTGCCAGTCTGCAGCTGGTGTATGACCGCGGGCCTGATGAGAAGGGAAAGGTTTAGGTTTTAATGGAATATTGCTATTGGTTTTCTGGCAGATCTGACAAGTGGAAGTGATCTGTTGTAGGAGGGTCTTATCGCGTGGAAAAGGGTAAAAAAGGAGTGAAGGAAAGTAGTAAGACTCTGTGGACTAGAATGGAATAGAGAGTGAAGAAAATGGAAGAGTTGTTGGGGATCTTTGGGCCAATCTCTGGGGGTAGCGAAGAGTAGCAGAGAGGAGGTAAAGCTCTGTAGGGCGGCTGATGGAGCCGCTTGATCGGCCTTGGAATTCCCCATAGTAGTAAGGGAGGAGTCAGTTTGGTGGGCCTTGCAATGGATTATTCCCAGTTAGGAAGGCAGCCTGGAGGCTCATAATAGGCCAGAAATAAGTGTGGAATTAATGGCTGCCATCCCTCTGGTGGTCAGTAGCCCCTTTCTTTCCAAATGGCTGAGTGGGAGATCAGGATATGGAAGACATATTATATAGGATGATGGATGAGAGGGAAATGACAGCATACCCTGCTACTTTAACCCCTTTGTATATAAAGGAGCTACCATCTGAGAACCAGACGAGGTCCGAAGAGGGCAGGGGTCCCTCAGAAATGGTGGTAGAGCAGGGTAAAATCGTCTCTAATACTTCCAGGCATTTGTGGACAGGATCTTGTGAGTGAGAAGATGGGAGGAGGGAGGCAGGGTTTAATGGAGAGCAGGGCTGAAAAGAGATGGAGGGATTTTCAAGGAGAGACAAGGAGGGATAGAACCCTGGAAGGAGGAAGTGACTGTAGCCCCCTTGTAAGTGAGAAAATCCTTTAATGATGAGGAGATGAGATGGTTATCAGGGAGCCAAAGGTAAGCTTGTGTGTTTCTTTCTGGAGGTCATGAGCCGCTGCTAGGGCTCTGAGGTATGGGGGCCAGCCCCTGGTGGTGGGGTCGAACTGTTTGGATAGGTAGGCCCACTAGTGCAAATGTGGGGCCATATTCCTGACATTGAATGCCAGACTTTGTCCCTGTTTTTATATAGAGGGTGAAGGGTCAGGAGAGGTCGGAGAGATGCAGGGTGGGTGCCCAGAGGAGGGCCTTTTAAAGGTCTTCC